CAATAAAGCACCCAGATTTCAGCGACAGCACACAGAACGACAGAGAAGCAAGCACCCTCTGCGTTACGCCATGCGATGTTTATATATATTTATTGGAATGCTGCTCTTCCGTTTGCTCTTCTGTTCCTGCTTGGTCAATGCATAAGTAAAGTTCACAGACTTAAACCCGTACAGCGATGCGTAATTTTGTAACGCTGTAGTAAAATGTTCTGTTTGCTTTAGGATTGGTGTTGTGTTTGAAAGCCAACAGAGATATTTGATTTGAGAGAACGCCAACGCTATTTTCCCCGTGAAGGAGTGCAGAGAAATTGATGTACTGCGAGGGCAGAAAGTGCCCAAACAGTTGAGAGACGACGATGTTCACCCTGGTTTTCTTGTACCTCTTGAGTTTTAAGCAATGGTGAAACTGAAATGCTTAACAAGAAGGGAAATGTTGCTCTAAGTACACTTAAAAATAAGTCTCTCTCGGTAGTAGATATTCCAGTCACCCTTGCACAGGGGGACTGGAAAAACATTTGCAGTGCTGCAGATCCACAGAGGGTGAGCGATACAGGCGTGATGTTCACAGCGTGGTGTGAACGGCACCGATGCAGCGTGGTGAAAACTGCACCTGGCTCGGCCGTTCCTAGTGTAGGAACGTGCAGGAAGGTCCCACGCGAGGTGTGGGGAAGGAGCCTGCAGCCACCGCTGGCACTTTCAGCAGTTTTGGTGCACGGGGGTGCGTGGCAAACCGTGCAGCGGGCGGCGTGGCAGAGAGGGAAAGGAAGGACGTGTTCTGTAGAGACAAGTCCTTCAGAAGGTGGTTTTAACGTATGGTTCTGGTCTTCTGGACCTGCTTCCACTGCACAGAATGAGCGCTGAAATAGTACACTGGAGATGAGCTCCTGAATGCGTGTCTTGCGTTTCCCTTTTTTGTGATAAAATAACGTAGGTGTGGAGAAAAAACGAAAAAAACCCACCTTATCTACCAAATCTACCAATTCTTGTTTCTTTGTTTCTAGTTAAGCTTCAATTAAGTTTGACTTTCTACAGTGGGGGATCCAATAAAGATCGATATTTTCACTTTTAAGATGCATTGTGTAAGTCATGTTCTTCTTATGTGTTACGCAGGAAGATGAGAAATTTTTGTCTGAAGTTTTTGCACAGTTAACAGATGAAGCTACAGACGATGACAAACGGTGTGAATTGGTAAGTCAGTGGGTCTTCATAGTTCTTTGAATGCTTTAAACTACAGAAGTTAAGTAGAAATATTGAAACTGTTCTGCTAGTTCTGTGGTCATTGAGGTATTTCTGTGACTCTAGAATCACTTCCTAGTGATTCTAGGCTAGAAAGGCTCAGCCTTTCTTGCAAGGTAAGCTCGGATTTATTTGTCCTGCATAATTATTTTGTTGTTGAGAAAGTACTAGCACTAAGTTGGCATCCTAGACTTAAAGGTGAACTTCCTTCCTGATACTCTGCAACGTACCACATCCCTTATATTTGTCATACAAACACTCCTTTTTTTCACTCTACTTTACTCAAAAAGATCTTTGAAGTCCTCTGACTGAGGATTGCCAGTAGTCCCTTAATATATGTATCACAAACATTATTTATCCTTGAAGATGTTTAAATTGCCGTGTTAAAATCTTGCTTTCAGCCAGGGAAGCATCTTTGTTCTTTCAAACAAAAGGCACGCCAGGCAGGAGTTTAAATCCTTTGTGCACTTGGTGATAAAATAGCTGCAAGGTGACTGTTTCTTTCTGAGGTCGAAGGTTAGAGAAGAGAGAACTAGAATACCATTTTCTAGGAAGGCATATACCAGCCAGTACACAAACTCTGACACAAGTTGTAATGGTTTCCTATTTTCAGAGAGTTTTCTGAATCAAATGCACCTTAAAGTTTTTTTTCCTATACCATAGGTTAACTTTTTCAAGGAATTCTGCGCGTTTTCTCAGACGTTACAACCTCAGAACAGAGATGCGTTTTTCAAAACTTTGGCAAAGTTGGGAATTCTTCCAGCTCTTGAAATTGTAATGGTAAGTCAAAACTTCAAGCTGATTTTAATAAAAATAAAAAAACACCAGCCATTTAACCATTTTTTCAGATCTGCTAAGCACCTTTGTTTAAGTTTGGATGGACAGCTTTGCTCTGCTGAAAGTTGAAGTTTATTGTAACATTCAGAATCCAAAAGATGTCCCCGGTTTTCAGAAGTAGCCTAACTTTATTGCTATTATTTTTACTTTGCATGATGGAGGAGTCTGTGGTAAATGCAGTGTAAAAATTGAAAGACGCTCTCTTTCACGTGGCAGCTTGATTATTTTTTTTTTCCTGTTGTTGTTGGAACGGTGCCAAAGAGGTATTTTTAGATAATCTTGAACTGTTAGCTTGTTGCTCTCCAAAAGATCACGTAATCCTGTCTTTTCAGAGGTACAAAGCTGATTAATCTATCTTAATCAGCAATGTGAAAACATAATTTCTTTTTTTCACTCCTTGGGTTGGAGCAGCTGTTGCTGCCTGACCATTGCAATTCTTCTGTCAGTGCTGCTGTCGCTCAAACTGTGAATTCAAGGATTTTTTATATTCCAGCATAACAACCTGTGAACTTACCAAAGGACACTGACTGTTACAGAAACATAAAAGTCGTGTAGATGTTCAGTGATTAGATGAACTCTAATCTTATTATTCTTTTCCAGGGTTAGCCCAGTCCAAATGTTTCCTGTTACGTTAATATTTTGGGCTTAGAAATTGTACAGTTATTAGAGAAAACCCCATACCCTAAGCAAAATTATTCATTCTTGTTGCCTATAAACAAGTATAGAAACTTGTGTACAAATTGATTTGTCCAAAATAATAAATAATATTTTTGGTGATAAATACCAAACTTGATTTACTCTAATAAACGAATCTCGTCGTTTTTTATTAGGGGATGGATGATCTGCAAGTTAGATCTGCTGCTACAGATATATTTTCTTATCTAGTAGAATTTAGTCCATCCATGGTCCGAGAATTCGTAATGCAAGAGGCCCAGCAGAGCGACGATGTAAGTAAAAGTGGCTTGGAGTTTGTTGAATGGAATAGTTTTAGAAGAAACAGCAAAACAAACGTCACCAGAATTTGGGATACAGTTAGCCCAAAAATGTAAATACTAGAAACAGGAAAAAGTAGATTTACAGTTTTAGGTGGGGAGGGTTGTGCCTGACAGAGCTCCAGTGTCTAAATGCAACTCTTAAGTTTGCTTTTTCACTTAAATTCTGTTTTTTAAAAAAAAAGGCACCTAATACAGAAACTAAAGAAATCATCCACTGTTGAAAGAATGCCTAATTATTTTTGGTTGTTTTTTTTTCAGGATATCCTCCTCATCAATGTGGTCATTGAGCAGATGATCTGCGATACTGATCCTGAACTTGGAGGAGCCGTTCAGTTAATGGGGCTCTTGCGTACTCTGATCGATCCAGAGAACATGTTGGCCACAGCTAATGTAAGAAAATACAAAGGGGTAAAGACACTTTACTGTCTCAGCAACATTAAAAGCCTGATATTTATTGCTGTTGTTGTGGTGGGAGGATCAAAAAAAAGACGTTTTTATTCTTTTTTGACAGTGTCGTGTATGGTCTGATACTGAATTTAAACAAGCTAAAAAATAAGCTAAAATTTCCATTAACTTTTGACAATAAAAGGCATAGGTAATGGATGTTGTGCAAGTGTTTATTAAACTAAACAGTTCCGTGCTTCAGTGAAATAGCATATCTGCATCCGTGGGGGGGGGTTGTGATAGTGAGGTTGGCTTCGTGTGTCTCAGATCTTTTCCAAAAATAAAGAAATGTGTGTTATGGAGTGAAGATGATGTTGCAGGACCAACCAGAAAGATACAGGCAGGCTTGAGGGAGCTGATAGAATTATTTGCAGGCTGTCTTTCATGTCTTTGTGTTGTTGAAAGGGAAGTATACAAATGCGAGTGTTTAATAAAGTTGTATTTGTTTTAGAAAACAGAAAAAAGTGAATTTCTCAATTTCTTCTACAACCATTGTATGCATGTTCTTACTGCACCACTTCTGGCTAATACATCAGAAGATAAATGTGAAAAAGGTAATGTTACTTTATTTTTTTTCCCCTTGCTGTACATCTTGTGATGTTTTCGAGTGACTTCAGTCCTGGTAGCAGCGGTGAGGCTGCGACGCAAGCTGGGAACGCGCTTGCTGGGAACTGTGGTTCCCCCAGTGGTAGGGCTTCTGTGGGCAGAAGTTCTAAAAGCCCTTTCTGGCAGCTTTGAATGAAAACGTATCTTTTTAAAATATGTATCTCCCTGATGTGCGTTGTTAATTGGATACTGGTTCCACTAGTATAATTCCAAAGAGTGTTTGCTGCAAAGCAGAGTGTGTCTTTAGTTCACAGGTACTTTTTTCTAAAAGTTAACCAAATACTGTGACAGTCATCAGTGGTTACATGGTTTCAAGCATCGGGTGAGCTTGGGTGATGAACTCCAAAAACTAGTTTTCACTTGGCTGTAGCATAGCAAGGCTGAAAGAAAACTATTCGGACAAACACAACTTGGAGCTCCGTTATCTTGTTTCTTTTTTTTTATTATTTTTCCTGGTAACAGTAAATGAATTGGAAATCTCGTTTGGTGCACACAAATAACCCTTGTGAGTTTGTCTCTAGTGGTTTACAAACAGAAATTTAACATCATTACAGCCTCTTTTAGGCTGGAACCTCAGAAAAAAGTTAGGCTTTTTTCTGAGTTCTCTTTCAAGAGGTTAAATCAAACCAATATGTGTTTGGTAAAAACATTTATTTCATGTTACCCATGTTCTCATATTAAGTCAAAAAATAAATGTTTTATGCATTTTACATGAAAATAAAGCTTGTAGAATATCAGTAGTACTTATTTTATAATATTTGAAAAATTTAGACTAGGCACTTTCTTTTAGTCTAGGTAGGGATAATATCCCAAAGTATTAGATTATGAATTTTCACCTGGTTGAATTTGAAACTTTGTAATGTAAATTGAATACAGAAATCTCATCCAGCGTGCATTCTTGCTCTACATTTTTTTTTCCCTGTAGCTTACAGAAACTTTCGATTCAATGAAAAGTTTGAACAGCTGGTTGGTTGTTTATCCCCATCTTGTAAATATTTACAGTGCTTTGAAAACCTTTTTCTGATTTTTGTTTTCATTTTCTATTTATCAGATGCAGTAGTTGGGTCCACTAAGAGTAATACAATTTGTCCTGGTAAGTTTTAATGGATGTTGAATTTTGAAACTTGTCTTGTATGAATAGAATGGAGTATTTCAGTTGGAAGGGACCTGCAGCGATCATGTAGTCCAACTGCCTGACCACTTCAGGGCTGACAAAAGTTAAAATGCTGTGTATGGGGTTTTAAATTAAAAAAAAAAAAAAAGTTGTTTATGTCCATATTTAATTTTTTAAAATACTTTTTATTGTAATAGATGTAGGTGCTTTGCTTCATGTGAGACGACAGGAAGCTGAGGGAACGTTTTTGTCTGGTTTTGAGTTACTGGGTTTCACTTGTTTTCCCCTAGTCTACCTTGATAGTGAAAGTTTAAATCAGTTTAGTAGAATATGCACTAAAGAGACATGGCTGAGCTTTGACAGTTTGGATTTTTGTCTTTTTTGAGCCTTGTGAAAAGACATTGCCAATGAATGCAGGTCTAACTGCCTTTCTTCTTTTAACCACGTACCATTAACCTGGATTGCTGTAACCGGGACCTCGCTGATCCTGGAAGGAGTCTCACTGCCAGTTCAGGATGGTTTTTGTGACTGGGGAGGAGGGGAGGCCAAATTATTCTGTGTTGTTTTGTTCTCACTTCCGAAAGCAGCTCAGTGTGCCACCAAAAACACGTCAGGAACTGTAATGGCAACTGAGCTCGGTGATGATTTGGTACGTGCCAGCACGGTTTGAGTGTAACTTAAGGCATCGATTTTTCTTGTAGATAATTACCAAACGGCACAACTGCTTGCCTTAATTTTGGAGCTGCTTACTTTTTGCGTTGAACACCACACGTATCACATCAAGAATTACATTATGAACAAGGATTTGCTAAGAAGAGTACTGGTCTTGATGAATTCAAAACACACGTTTCTGGCCCTGTGTGAGTATGGAGCTGTTGTGATCGCCTTTGAGGCTTTGCACGTACTTTGTGGAGGGCGTACAAGTACAAGAGTGTACTTCAAAATTCATGTTAAATTCCTATTTATTACTGGTTAGTTGTGTAGCAATTTTGAAAAGAGGTAGCAGATGTCTGTTCAGGTAGGCCAATGCAGCTCATGGTGGAAGGAGAATTGTGTCTTCTGAAGTCCACAGTGATCTTTCAAGTCTTTATGACTGTAAGGATCACTTGTGAGCAGCTGTCTTACCTCGTTTAAATGGAAACGCTGTCATTTCGTAACAACATCGTAAACCCAGTGCTCCTTGTGGGGAGTGGGTGAAGTGGTGTGCACCAGGTATTTAAGGAATAGGGGCTGGTTCTTGCAGGTGCACGCAGAAAAGCACAGCAATGAGCCAATAATTTAATTTGATGTGTCCTGAAGTTTATTACTGTTATATTTCAAAAAGAAATTAATAGACCCTGATCACATTCAAATGCCCAGGAAAGTCAAAGAATGAAAGAAAGGTTACCTGTCAGCAAATGTTTCTTCTGAACTTTCAGAAAGTGCTTCTTAATGCTTCTGGTTTGGGGGTGCATCTTCCTCTCAGTAACATCAGGGGTTTTAAGTTCTTTCCAGGCGAAGCAGGTTGGAGCCCTGGTGTGTAGTTATTAAATTCTTGCATTTCTTTCTTCATATAGGTGCTCTTCGCTTTATGAGGAGGATAATTGGCCTAAAAGATGAATTTTATAACCGTTATATCACCAAGGGAAACCTGTTTGAACCAGTTATAAATGCTCTGTTGGATAATGGAACTAGGTACAACCTGCTCAACTCTGCTGTCATTGAGCTGTTTGAATTCATCAGAGTGGTGAGTTGAGCAGCTACTTCAGCTCTTGGGTAGAAATACCAAATGTCAACGTTTCACATGAAGTAGCGTTGTACCAGGTAAAACCACAAACCGAAATCCCACAGATAAATATTGAACTCGAAAGGAGCCCGTGAGCTGCTTCCTGTTTGTTTTGCTCGATTGTCCCATCACAGAGCACGTCTCTGCACTATTTACACACAAGTCTGTGTAAAAGCTCCTGTAGGTTACAGTGTTCCAAGTGATGGAATGTGTTGTTTCTGGACCAAACTTTGAAGTGAGGAAATAAATGAAATATGTAACGTGGGAGTAAATCTGGGTATTGTTTGGTCTAAATGAGACTGATTTGACTATGAACTTGCATGATCATTGTCCTTGAAAATCCTACACATGTGCTTTCTTAGCCAGCCTCAGCTTTGAATCAGTGGCTTTTCCGCCGGCAGCGTTTGCGGGAACGACGTGTGTGTGGACAGGACAGACAGGACGAGCAGGAGCGCCCAGTTCCGTGTGGTGCTGGGGCAGAACACAAGGACTTGCACCAGCTCCTGAGCTGCTCGAATGCCTTGATGTGGGGGAGTCTTCTCAGGAATCTTTGTGGTCTGTGGAGATGCAGGGCAGTTTTTAAGCGTAGGATATCTATGCGTGCTGCTGGGGGCTAGAAAGAGAGGGAAACTTGTGGGAACACACAGCCAAACTCCTCTTTATCTGAAGAAGGCTTAATCCTAGGGAGCAAGCATCGTGGTTTATTCAAACTATCACAAAGAGAATTGGGACAGTACTGTCTTGTCCATTTATATGGGAAATTTAATAATTATTTCTAGATTTCAGCTTTTTTATTAAAGATCGATCTGATTACTTCACATTTGTTCTTTACAATAACGTTTTGACTCCAGTTACTTTGAAACTTTAAAGCTTTCTGAACTTCTGCGTGTTCATATTTGAGACTGAAACCCCGTTTTGTTCTTACACAGGAAGATATTAAGTCCCTTATTGCACATATAGTTGAAAACTTTTATAATGCACTTGAATCTATTGAATATGTTCAGACGTTCAAGGGATTGAAGACAAAATATGAGCAAGAAAAAGACCGACAAACCCAGAAATTGAACAGGTACGACCCAGTTGATGTATTCCCAGGCTTTTATCGGGTGCCATTATGTATCTTTGCTTACTGCTGGTTGTTTTTTTCTTTCCTAGAGGGCAGAAAAAGCAGAAGGCTGGGATTGGGGTGGGGTGTTCATTCTTGATGAAAAGTTCTTCAGTTAGAATAAAGCCCCGCCTGGCTTTCCCCGTGGCCTGCTGTAGCACGGTTGGAATTTTGTCAGTGTTTTCAGCGTTACATTCAGAAAACTCTCAGTTTAGGAAGAGCAGAATCTTCTGTCACTGGGAGTTAGGACTCGGTCTGCCTTACCGTCAGCTGGGCTTTGGGGGAAGCTTACCTTGATGGTAGAACTGGGGACGGCGCTGGACTGCCTCTCAAACGCACCGAGATCACTCGGAAGCGTCAGAGGCCGTCTGTGATCCCGGCGGAGCCTGGAACAGCAGGCAAAACCTGAACCACGTGTCCTGTGTCTCTTACAGTGTTCCATCTATATTGCGTAGCAATAGATTTCGCAGAGATGCAAGAGCCTTAGAGGAGGATGAAGAAATGTGGTTCAATGAAGACGAAGAGGAAGAAGGTGAAGCTGTTGTGCCTCCGGTCGAGAAGTCGAAACAGGAGGATGATTTTCCAGATAGCTATGAAAAATTTATGGAAACTAAAAAAGGTATTTACTCTATTTCAGCTTGTCAGCACCAAAGTGCTCTGTGCCAGATATGTGGAGTGTCGTGTAAACAAACCAGCTGCTCGTGCTCGGTGTCACAAGCAGGAGCGAGGGTGTTGTATACAGCTGAGCGGTGAATTCCTACCGTGTCTTTGCCAGCCAGTTTAGGATTAAAGAAGAGGAGGCTGAGGGGAGACCTGATTACAGCCTACAAATACTTGAGAAAAGATGGTGGGAAGGTAGGGGAAGGGCTCTTTACATTAGTGTTGGGTGATAGGACAAGAGGAAATGGGTATAAGCTTAGTCAGGGGAGATTCAGGTTGGATGTTAGGAAGTATTTCTTCTCTGAAAGGGTTGTCAGCCACTGGAATAGGCTGCCCAGGGAGGTGGTTGAGTCCCCATCCCTGGATGTGTTTAAGAATAGGGTGGATGATCTACTTGGGGATATGGTTTAATGGGGATTAGGGACGGTTGGACTCGATGATCTCTAAGGTCTTTTCCAACCTAGAAATCTATGAATGAATAAACCAATGAATTTAAATTGCTCCAAGGGAGCATCTAGTTTAAATGACATTCCGAAGCAAAACTCTATATGGACTCGTGTGGGCTGAGTGAGCCCCGTCCCGTGTCCGCAGCAGATTCTCAGGGTGAATGTTGCCGGGCTTTGGATGAGGTCAGGTGAGCTGTTGATGTAATCTGAATTTTAAAAAAAACCAACAAACAAGGTGGCTTTTGCCCTGGAATTATACTGTGATGTGGATTGTACTCTGTGGCGTGCAGCTGATATTTAAGTACGGAAATGTTTGTCCCTCAGCTAAGGAGAGTGAAGACAAAGAGAATCTTCCAAAAAGGACTTCAGCTGGGGGATTCAAATTCACTTTTTCCCACTCAGCCAGCGCAGCCAATGGTGCAAACGGCGCAAACAGTAAATCCGTGGCAGCTCAGACGTCACCAGCAAGCTCCAACGGCTCCTCCTCAAAGAACGCGACCCTGACCACGGCGGTGACCGCCACGAAGGTGGGAGCTCGTGTGCAAGAGCTGCTGGGGCGGCGGAGCCGTGGCGGGAGGCTTTAGCAGTTGTAATGTGGCAAGGTCAGCATTAGCCTCGGGGCAGGGTGTGTAGTTACCTCCAAGTTCATCCAAGCCCTGCCTAGTTAAACCTTTACTGGTTTTTACTGGGTTTGGGGAAGGTTTAAGGAAGCATTAGGCGGGACTGGAGGCTCTTGGTGATCTGGTGGGCACAGTTTGATCGTGCATCAATTTGGCTGCTCCTGCTCCTCTAATGTGGCAAGGTCAGCATTAGCCTCGGGGCAGGGTGTGTAGTTACCTCCAAGTTCATCCAAGCCCTGCCTAGTTAAACCTTTACTGGTTTTTACTGGGTTTGGGGAAGGTTTAAGGAAGCATTAGGCGGGACTGGAGGCTCTTGGTGATCTGGTGGGCACAGTTTGATCGTGCATCAATTTGGCTGCTCCTGCTCCTCAGCTTGAACTGGCCAGTTGCTGCTCCGTGTGTGATGCACATACGGGATTGGTTTTGTCTGAATTATGTTAGCGGCCTGCCCTCTGTTGGGGAGTTAAGTGGTTTTAAGCAGATGAAGTACAGGAAGTGACAATTCTGAGGCCAGGCCCAGAGGAGCAAGGAAGTACCAGGACTTTTTTAACCTCAAGGTTCAAAAACATTCTCGAGACAAAGGGGTGTTTGAGTGGAAAAAGGCGTCACCTAGAAACCTTCTGCAGGCTCGTGCGTCCCAGACAGGCTGGCTGGGGGTTCTGTACAAAACTTGCACGTTCCTGGGTGGTTTTTCCAATGTAAGTTTTTTGGTTTTCTTTTTTTTTTTTTTTTTTTAAATTGGCAGGGAAGTCTAGTTGGCCTAGTGGATTATCCTGATGATGAAGATGATGATGAAGAGGAGGAGACATCGCCACGGAAAAGACCTCGTCTGGGTTCATAAATGAAACCAAAACTTTGGAATAAAAACATTTATTATGGGGTTTCAAATGCTGCAACTGTTTTAAGAGCTAAAAAGAATCTGATTGAGAAAGCTTTCTCCCATGAGTATATAAGATAATACAAGGAGTAGCAAAAGAAACTCAGTATATCAGCTAGAAAGGGTTAGTTCTGTAAACACAAGGCTTCCAAGGAACTTGGTATCTTTCTAGTAAATAAGGAGTCTGCCGTTCAGGCTGTCAAAAAAAATAAAAATTAAAAAAAAAAAAGTGGGTTAGTATTCACAGAACCTGGATGATGGCTTCTCAGCAAGGAAAGTCTCAGGTGTCGGGAGGGCAGGGGGAGGGGAAAGGTATGGTAAACACTTTGTCAAAAATATTGCAGGGTTTCCCCAAGTGTTTAACAGAACTAGGAAAAAAAAATTCAAGCTTAAATTTTGAACCCAGTAATCTTAATTTTGTAATGGTGCTGTCAGCTGTGTTCTCTTCGCAATGCCTCTTTTTAAAAAAATCTAAGGGAAAAACTAACTGTTTGCATAAGAACAATCCGGATTTTTGGGACCATTTATTACCAATTAAATCGCATTTCTCATGGCTGGAGGGAGGGACGCTGCCGTTACAGCGCATGTTGAGTGTTTAAAACAGTTACAAATCAGTTTTAATTTGCATTTTTTCAAGAGGAGAAAATGGAAGCTGGATTCAGAACGGATGGTTTCGCTTGGTTTTTTGATGAGAGATCCAGCAATATCTGCGCCGGGGAACGATGGTTCCAAAAGAGCTCGTGGAGCTGCTGGTGTCAAAGCGGCGCTTTCCATGGCACCCTCGAGCAGCTGTCGGCGTCACCGTGGGGAGGGTACGGAACGGGAATGGCTTTTCGGAGTGTTGAAGGAGCTGTCTCTTCTCGGAGCAGCAAACCCTTTCCCTGTTTGCGAGCTGAAATTGCGTAACTGAGGCGGTAAGAAGAAACACCAACAGGTTTTCCGTAGCGATGAATTTAGCGGCGTTTTAACACCAAAGTCACTTTGGACCAAGACAGAATTCCGACTAACGGGACACCGGTCTTTGAGGCAGAGCCAACGAGCAGCACCTGAATCCGGGTGTAACACAAAAGCTGCTTTTTTTAAAAAAATAAAAGCACATTCCACGTAGTAGTTTAAGCAAACGGCGACAAAAATCGGTGAGTTGATGGCGAGTCGAGAGAGGCAAACGGTGCGGGTCTTGTGGCAAGAGCAGCGAGTGAACTGTAAATATTTTAATGTTAGTTTGCCCGTGGGTGGTCTGAGATCATGACGAAGCGAGAGGGAACTTCCCAGCGACGATTCACGTGTCAGAAATGGTAAAAGACGAGACCAGCTGCAATCCACCACATCGATCACTCTTGTACTATGTGTTATGGGTCCATTTCTCCTGGAATAGTTTAAACAGAAGCAGTTTCTCTGTTTTGGAGATTTTTGTAGTTAATTTTAATTTTAGCTATTGTTTGGAAAAAGATGGGCTGTCTGTGTAGATATGAAGTATAGTTTTTTTCCATAAAACAGAAGTTTATTTTGTATTAAAAATACCACTGTACTTGTTTTACACCATTTGTATACATGTGGTGATATTAATGCTGAACTGTAAAATTCAGGAATTAAAATGTGACCCTGTAATTCCATAATTATTGCTTTTGTTTGGTTTGTTGTACATGGTAAGTTAACTCAGAATTCTAAATGTGGCCGTTTTAGAATATTTTTTTAAGATTAGTGATCCGTGCAGTTTTTAAAAAGCAACTCTGTACCACTAGACGACATCCCGAAGGGAACGCCTGCGTTCTTACCGACGCGTCAGCTCCGCACGAGCGTTGATGGATGAGCTCACGCACGTGGACCTGGGGACAACGGCGCTGCTCCAGGCAGCCCGGAACGGGACTCCTCATTTTCCACCTGTGCAACGAAACGTCCCGTCGGCTCCCGACGCAGAGGATCCGAGGAAGCGTTTGCTGGGGAAGCGTAGCCGTAGTCTCCTCGCCGTGCGCTCGCTCTCCTGCTGACCATCATCTGGTTTTCCTCCCGAGGAGTCGTTTCTCTCCGGCGCCAACGATGAGTAACGTCCTCCAGCGCTACTCCGGCAGCACTTACGCAGTATGTGCCTTTACTAACCCGAGGCTGAAAACTTGCGTCGCCTGGGCTGCGGCCCCGAGTCGGCCCCATGGCTCGCTAACAGCTGCCCCAAACGAGTTCTCGGAGGGTCTCTGACTGACGTGTTAGTCCTTACTCAGTGTTCCCCAACACCCCAACTCAACCCTGAAGTACCGTCAGGAGCTTTAAAAAAAAAAAAAAAACATTCAGACCAACATGAGGGTTTTTTTACAGCGAAAACAAGAATGTCATGAATTTTTATAGTTACTAGAAAAAGACTGTGTAAAGTGGCATTAGATGTCCCATTGGAAAAAATATTTCACATCCCTGTGGGTGGTGACACGCAGCGCTCTTCAACTGGCTGTTGTCTGGGGTTGTCACCCCCCCAGATGCTGTTTCCCAGGCTGAGCTGGTGGGTGCTGCCCACGGGCAGCTGCGTTCCCGTGCCCAGGGTCCTTCCACTACCACTCTTTTTGGAAAAGAACAGAACATCTGCCAACATGTATCAGTTATAAATGCTATTTTAATAAAAAGTTACATGAAACTTGAATTGGTTGGGTTGTTTCTGTTGATTTTTAATACTTCTTTTAAGTTTCTGTTGCAGGCAGCTACGTAATGAGGTGCCATCAAGAGCCTCTCTTCCCTGCCTTGGGTCAAGTCTGTCAAAGCCAAACCAGTAACTATCTTAAAAGATTTCTGATTTGAAATGGAATTGCTCATGACATCCAAGCTTTTACTTTGCGAGTAAAGCAACTATTTTTATTTAAAGTTGCATTTATATTAAAATTGGACCTAAAGACTGGTCAACAGCCCCGAAACTGCGTAAAATAACATAATCCAGAAATATGGAAACATCTCAACTGCGAGCTGCGTTATCTGGTACTCGAAAATAAGATGGTCACAGTTGCACTTCTTTGTGAAATTAGACTTTATTACATTGCACAGCTGAAAATAGTAATTTGATTATAATACTCTAATAAAAGGAAGAAAGTTCCATAATTTTGAAAATAAAAAAATCTTAGAATTTCTAACTCATTCAGAACTGTTCACATAGGAATTATTGTCACAGATCTTTGTTCTATACAATGTCAAGTGGCTGAGGCAGTAGTTAGAAGGTCTGTTCAGTGGCCTCACTGTTCCACACATTCCAGTTAAAGTCAGTGAGTTTCCAGCATTCTGGAAAATAAGTGGTTTTAGTGTATTTCAGTTTCATTTTAAATATTTTTATATATAAAGTACTGAGTTGCTTGTCTGAAAGTTCTATAAAACTAGATGTAATATTGGAAAACAAATCCAATTATTATTTATATAATTTATTCTAAAAACATACTTATGATCTTGGGTTCTGCAATGAGCTTCTTAAAATTACCGCTTGTTAATAACTTCTTCTTTTAGTTTTTCTGCAAGCATTTTCCTCTTCTGTAGTAACCTTTGCTTCTCTTCTGACATTTCCTAAAAACAAAATGAAGAAAACCCACTGCAGTAACGTGCACGGCTTTCCCAGTAGGTGCCCCGACTTGTAACGAACTGCTAACGGGACGCATGAGCCGGATCCAGGAGCGGACATCGGCTTCTCTAACGAGGAGCAGCCAAATAATGTCACTGGCAAAGCTCAGGCTGCAGCAGAAGCCCTTCAAACGCGCTCACTATCCAGAATGATTTAAAAAACGACATTATTATCCCTCCATTTCTTGAGCAGCGGATCCCAGGATGCGGACAACTGGCTCTTGACAGCAATCCGCCTGTTTTCCACTGTGCTGTACCAAGCTTTTTGAGAGGGCTGACCTCACGTTCAACTGGTGCTGCTTAGTTGTTCTGCAAGTTCCCCAGTCAACAGTATTTTGGCACAGTCTGAGTGTAATAAAACGCTCAGCAACTCGGAAAAGACACGCGAGGCAGCAGAAGGTGAGGTCTTCTCGCTTCACTTGTGTCCAGAGTTTGAGCGTTTCTTTTCACATAAACGTAGATCAGACCTCTTTGTGGCAAATGCACTTAAGTCATATTAACCATAACAATGAGTGACAAAAAAAGTTTGGTGTTTTTTTTTTCCTGATAAAGAGCTCTATCTTGGTAGAGCTTTATCCTGTTGTAGGATTCTGTTGGGTTTTTTTTTATGGCCGAACTTATTTTCCCTGAGATTTATCTTTTCTCCAAACTAGATTTTCTATCATTGCCACAGTGCAAGGATTTCTGCAATTTCAGCACTTTGTTTTCAGTCAAGGGACATCTCAGTTAATTCACTAAGTGGACAGCACCATCCACCCTTCAGAGTGTCTTGTCTTTCTAAAACATACCGTCATCATGTCGCTTCTATTCCAGCGGCTGACGGATGGAAATTAAGGATTTCTTAATTCCAAATAGGCACAAAACTCTCAAAAGAACAAAAAAAAATGAGCAAATTTGTTACCTCTGTAAAATCAGACTTTGCAGAAGAAAAATGTGGGATTTTTTAATTTGGGGAAAAAAAAAAAAATCCCAGGGATTTAAGGCAGCTCAAGCAGTAGGTCACAGATCAGGAGAAAACCATCATTTCAGCTGTTCCAAAACTTAATCATAAAGATTTGATAACACTGAAGCAAAATCTCACTTAATCCCTAAAACTTCCAGCCTGTAAGCTTCTGCAAAAAGTGACTTGCAAATACTTGCTCTCTACTTCCCCCACCTGCTTTTCTTCATCCTGCAACACTGTTCAGTGGCAACACTGACATCTCTGCTGACATCATCTGTGTTTTTCACAAAGTGGTCGGGATGACTGTAACGTTAGAATCTCTCACCTCTTTGGGAGACGATTCCTCCTCTTTCTGGTCAGTGTTTGTTGGTAACAGCACGTTATTTCTTGACTCCTTCTTTGCAGCCATCAGCATGTCTCGTTTTTTCTTCAGGTAGTCCTCTCGTTGCTTCAGCTGCTCTTCTTCAAGTTCTGATAAATTCTGGAATTGTTTTTTAAAAATACATTTTGAAATCATTCTTAGTATGCATGTTATGTGAGATAAAACCCTTTACATCATATTTGCCTCCAAAATAAAAAAAAAAAAATCCAAGTTGAAGCTTCAAGCCAGAGCTGTCTGCTAAGAAAATATCATGGGATGAGGGCTGAATATTGAATTCTATTCTAAATAGAATTCTATTCTAAAACTAGAATGATGATTTCATC